ATGAGGTCTATAGAAAGATTTAACATGATCTTAATAGAAATTTTGTATTAGCTTTGAATCTTCAACTTGTAGTGAGATAAATTTGGAACAGCAGGATTCTTATCAGGGACTTGGATGAACAACTCGGCACTAAGTGCACCATGCAGAACATGCATGCCAGTGCACCCTGTCACCCTAGGTTTCACTTCAGGCTACTTTGAAGAGGAATCTCAAGCTTGGAGCAGACACCGGGTGTGTGCTGGAGCCAGACCACTAAAACAGTGTTTACTCCCCAAACATGGATATCAGTGGTGTGCATCACAAGGTGTCAATGGTTCTTACCATGTGAATGCCTCCAGTAACAATGTCAGTGTCCGTACTAGCATCAATGATGGCACCTCCCAAATCAAACAACATTTCTACCATTTTGCAGTGTTTGGCATTTAAGCAAAAAGTTCAAAGAAAATTCAAGCAAAAACTACTGAGGAAATAGTTTTACAATCTCTTTCTAGTTACACATATAACACACAATAATAATAATAGGATTTTTCTTCCTGAATCACAAGGTGTTCCATCAGCAAACCGAAAGCCTTAAAATCTCTTTTTCTCCTCTGTAGTGTATGGGTACAGATGGCACACGAAATACATCACAGAAATTAAAAATTAACTGAAGCATTTTTGTTAACGGTTTCTGTGCTGCACACAACTCCAGTCACACAGCGCCGTTAATTACTGCTGGTGCTGACAGTAGGGATCCCCTTCCATCTGCTGGGACCAGCTGATGCAAAATTAAAACAAGCCCTTAGAATAAGGAGCACCTCTGCAGGGTCACTGCCCGGCACCGCTGCGGGAGCCGGAGCGCACACGGAGTTTGTGCAGGAGCGGTTCCCTGCGCTCTGCTTATTTCTCGCTGGAGTACTGAAACACTGTTCCTTAAGGTTTGTTTGGGTTTTTTTTTAATCTTTAAAGATGCAGCTCTCCTTCTGCATCGCCTGATCCCTTTAGGGATCCAGCAGCCTTTCCCCCAGACGCCTCCTATCCCACGCAGGGGAGCAAAGATGCCCGGGACAGAAGACCCCCGGGGCGGTGACTTACCTCCCCGGGCTCGCAGCGTCGGCTGCCACCTCCTCTCCTCCTCCTCCGCCTCCTCCTCCTCCTCGCTGCGGAAAGCGGGGCCGGAGCCCGGGGACGCGCTGGACGCAGGGCAGGTGCTCCGGTGCAAGGGAAAGCCCGAGGGGACAGACCCTCGGCCTCCGCCCCGCAGATCCCCCTCCCGCCTTCAGGGGGGCTGCTGCGGACCCCCGGGTACGCGTCCCCGGCAAAGCGGGGAGAAGGCACCGCTTACCGGAGCTGCTCGCCGGTGAGCAGGACCTCGGCCATGTGCTCCAGCTCCGCCGCTTTCTGCTGCATGCTGCTCATGCC